TGCAAAACTCAACTAAAGCTTCTGTAGGGGAGAATTGTTAGACAAATTGAAATGTGGAAATAACTTGATTTAGTGCTTATCTGAACTGCTGCTTAAAAATGTTTTAGTATTTATTCTGTTTGCGGTCACATCTCTTTTCAGTTACTTTGAATCTGATTGATCTACAGTTAAGTTCAGGACAAATATAGGATAACAGTCTTGCAAAGACATGATAGAAACAGGCCAAAGTGGCTAAAAATGTTCTGAGGACAATACTACAGCAGCTGGTGGCATTTGGTACTCTATGCTTTCTGCAAAACAAAATGCTTTATTCTCTTTATCATTTGACTATAGGTTATGGTTACAGATCAACAGTTTTTTCCCCCAAAGAAATAGGTAATCAAGATTGGACAAACATTTGAAAAGGTCTGACACTAAAGCAACCCTGAGGATGACCATGAAAACATGGTGTCATCAGTAAAACATGGTGGTGACAGTATCATGATCTAGGGTTTCATTTTTATTTTTAGATGAAACTAGTCTTTTTTGATAAGGTGGTTAAGATATAATTCACTTTTTGTTAACACTTAAACCAAAAACGTTCTTCCATGAAGCTGAAAATGATCATTCACCAAATAAGGCTTATTAAAATCCTGTGGACCCTGTTCACATTGTTGGTAATTTAGCTATGCTTGTTTTTAAATAGTTTTCCTAATAAGCTCAACAGTCTCTTTATTATTTATTTTGTCTATTTAGTTGTGCCTGTTCAGATTAAGTGAAACTAGAAAAATTTCCCAGCATTTTAACACAGTTCAAGTGTTTATTTTGTTATCTTTAAACCAAGTGCTTTTTGCCATTTCTTCCAACTTTTTTTTATGTTTAATCTTAATCAATAAAAGGAATAAATATTTCATGTCCTCCTGGCTTGCCTAACTTTCTGGTTGAACACATACACAAATTTAATTTGACTTTGGTCATTTTGAATCCACTCACTAGTCAGTTGATGGATGAAAAGAACAACAATGAAAAAAGGCCTGATTATGAACACATTAAGAAAATACATTGCTTGTTCATAAAAAATCCAGTGGGGAAATATCTGTTTTCTTGAATGAATAAATGATTTTCCAGGGACAATGTCAATGCAAAACGAGAAAATACAGAACTTTCACAAATGGACTCTGTGCACAAATGTGCTTTTTTGCCCCACTAAGATGCTTTATACTGCTGAGAGAATATGTTTAAGTTATTTAATTATGGTAGTATGAATATGGGCAATTTAGTCAGTAAGTGAATGGTTTAAATTGATTACATTTAATTATAAACTAAAAGATGTCCTATAAACAATCATTTTCATTTTTCCCAATGTTTAAGTGCATTTCTTTTTGTCCCTTTGCTATTTCATAGTTTTGCTCTTTCAAAGCCAAAACTTTTGCATACAAAATCTGCCTGCCACATGATCTTTCCCACTGTGTCAATTTGAATTCTTGGAAATGGAAAACAAATTTTTACAGAAGAGGATTAGGGTCACTGAAAAAAATGAAAAAAGTTAACAGATTTCTAAATTTTATTTCTTTTTAATATGGGGAAAAAAGTCATTAAACTAAAATTAAAATTTAAAAAAAATCAATTAAATTTTTTCAAACTACTTTTTCATTTATTTTTCAGTGGCTCTAATCCTCTTCTGTACATTTTTTTCACCAGAAAATCTGGCATTTTAACAGGGGCATGTGCTGATAGAGATTCCTTGTGCTGAATTATGTAAATTCATAAATCATAACAAGAACATAGACTGCAAAGTGTTACAAAAAATTTTTATTACCTTACGAATGTGAGCGTATACAGAAATACATCTTTAAGGAGTCCTTAAACTTAAAAACAAAGCAAAGTGTAGAAGTTCAGAGAGCTGCAAAATGTAGGGGTGAGAAAAGCTCCACTTCATCTCCATCATGTTTAACATCCGTGTTCAAGCCTTCAGATGTTTACAGAAGGCCACACAGCGTTGCTGCTGTGTGCAATAGCTCACGGAAACACAACTTATTTTTGTTAATGGCGTGCAAACCTTTGTTCAGCCCTGGTAAACAAGCAGAGGTCAGGCTGAAAACGCAAGCATCTTGCACAAGTTTATTATTTTAAGGTTTTCGTCGGCACGGCTGGCATTCAGCTAATTTCCTGTGGAAAGTTCAGCAGTTGCTGCTGGAATGTGACCATTTGTGTTCAATGACATGCAACCCTCAGCCAGCTTACATGTAGGACATAAATCAGCTCTATTTTTGGTGTTATAAACACACCTTTACTGCTCTACATCTGGCTAATAATTTCTATAAAGGTATATATATATACATGCATATATATATATTGCTGAAGTCTCATCTGTCCTCTTGCAGCAGCTGCAGCCTGTCTTCTGCTAAGTTTGGGCTGCTGCGTCCAGTGTCAATAGCTTCACAATCATCTATGAAAAACACCAGGTCCTGCCAATAGAAACAGGATAAAAATATGTTTCAGTTTGTTTTATGCATGTTTGTACTGTATGTGGTCAAGCAGCTCAAAAGGAAAAAGGAACATATCTGAGAGGCTCTCACCCGGTAACAAAGTCTGGTAACGATGGTGTAAAGGTTCTGGAGTTTCCGTTTCAGCAGAACCATTCTGGGCTTCTCCTTGCAGATCGAGCTGGGATGGTTCAGCACTACGTAGAGAATGTCACGCAGTTTGTTGGAGATGCATGCATTCTAGAGACATAATAAGATGCTTATTTTGCTAATCTTTAATTAGAACACAACTCTTAAGCTTGATGCAAACCCAAAGCAGTTTGATGAAAAGCAGCTCTTATCTGATAAGGAATAATATTTAATTAAAACAAATTTTCATTCTAGATTATATGCAAATAAAAAAATAAAAAAATAAATAAACAGGTTTTCCAACTTACATGGACATCAATGTGGATGACAGGCAGAACTTTTGCACACTCTTTCTAATAAAAAAGAATTAAGAATATAAAAGCTGTCAGTCAGAAAAGAAACCTGCAGCAGTGAGGAGGTCTTACAGTGCGGGGGGAAGTATGGATCTTATCCAGGAGGGTCATGATTTCTTTGCCCAGGTTGAGCGCTCTGGAGTAGCAGGTCGGAGGAGTGCAGTCACACTGAAGCACGGAGCTGAAGAAGCAGAGGAGAGCCACCAGTCCCAGCCTCATGTCTATTGGCTTTGAAAAGGGTCCAGCTGCATGTGAAGAAATCCAACAAATAAGCTGCAGAGAAACCACTGCCTGCACTTTTAAGGATGGAGAGAAAGCCAAGGGAAAAAAAAGAGGATGACGTGGAAGAGCTGGAAAGCTCAGTGGGGGAAATGAAAACACTGAGTGACTGTTGGAAAGCTTTGAAAATGAGTTTATCTTAGCTAAAGGCAGATCCAGGATTTTTCATATCTGGTTTTAGTTGCTTTAGAATTGTACTTAGAAAAGTCTTTAAACTTTTATATCAGTCAGATATTGTTCTATTTTTGGTATGTGTTTAGATTTAGTTTAATTAATATAACATTCTCATGTCAAATATGTAGTAAGTTGGTTCTACAGAGGCCACCACAAACAAACTAACCAAGGATCCTTCATCCAGGGATATTTGTTGTGTTAAACCTCAGATCACAGATTAATAATGCAAAGTACTGGACTGTTGCTCAGTCATTCCAAGTTTTATTTGCAGATCAAGGTTTTAGTCAGATAGAAGATTGGCGATGCATCTCATTGTCAACTTTTCTTAGTCAGTGATGATTTGATGAGCCATCTCATCCTTGGGCTAAAGCGTGGTATCAATTCCAATGACAGATCAGGCTTCTATACCAGAAACAATTCAAAACACCTCTTAGTTCACTCTGGTGGTAAGCTTTATGTAGATGCTGATTTCATTCTCTAGCAGGACTCTAGCTGCTTTCATTTCACCTTTGTGTCTCCGAGTATGATTGGCCAACGAGCCGGCCTGACCGAAACCATAGAGCAGGCATCCCCAAACTTTCCTTGCTCCAGCACAGCTGATTTTAATTGAAAGCTGATTAACAGGCTTTTGCTCTACTGCAATCATTACAATCAGCTGTGCTAAAGCAGGGAAACCTCTAAAACCTGCAGGACAGTGGCCCTTGAGGACCAAGTTTGGGGATGCCTGCCATAGAGGATCTATGGAGTATTGTCAGAATGAAGATGATACGACTCATGAAATAATCCAGATGACATGCAGGCTGTGAATAAAGCAAAAATAATCTTGTATTACTCCTCAGCAGAGCCACAGGCTGATCCCCTCTATGGTATGGCGCACTAATGCAGTAATCCATGCAGTTCAGACAAAACACTGTGCAGATCCAAAGAAACTACATATGCTTCAATATTAAAATAAATATAGTTGTAATTCCCCTCAGGCACGACGAGCACAAATGGATTTCTTGAACTGATTTAATGAAGCCTCCAAATCTTCATTAGCACCTTGAAAACTGTACAGAACAATACAGTTGATACAATTAACTAATTAGCTACCATCAAACCACACAGTGTACATTGTAGCTGGCTTACAACAGAATGAAACAATGTAACGTTACATACAAATAATAAAATACCTCGCTGGCTGAATGCCACAATGAGGGAATTATCCGTGAATTTAAAGGCGATTGTCCTTGATGCTGTCCTTGGTTTTTAACTCAACAAACTTCAGCTTATAATGTTTGTGAGTAATGTGAAAAACCTCCGTTGATTTCCATGAAAGACGGGCGTTGGTGTTTGTTTCCATGGTAACCCAAGACGGACGTTGGTGAAATAACCTCTTCTCAAAACAGCGCAAGAACAAGCTTGTAGATATAATCATGAGAATAATCATAAATAAATCAAACCATGTGCCACTCAGTAAAACAATATAAAGATACAATCATATTTACAATAATTAATATGAAATGTAAATAACTATATATACATATATCAATATCAATGAATTATATCAATAAACTGTCTGCATCATCATGGATACATTTACAATAGTTTTATTATAGGCAGAATAATCAGAAAAAAATTATTGGTGGAAACCCTCCAAATAGGAAGTCTATATGCAAGTTATACGTAATTAATCTTCTGTGAATATTCCAATTCATCCAAATGTTTCTGTATCTGAACATCTTAAAGAGGAAATACAAAAGACATCAGGTGTGAAAAGTCAGCTGCCTTTAATTGAAAAAAAAGCAAGAGAATACATACATATAAAAATGGTACAAAAATAAGCAGATTTATATAAAACTATCAATTTCTTGGTGATTTCCTTAGAATCATAAAATTACAACAAGAGAACAGAATAAGAGATATTGTATAAGAGTCTCATGTTGCAGGAGCTACAGAACCTTTCTTAAGATTGAGAAAATTTCTCTTCTTTTTCCTTTTCGGGACGACGGCAGGATTATCAGATTCCGGTGGATCCCGAAACACAAACAGGCGCTCTCTCCCCGGTGCGTTGCAGGCGGAGGTCTCCTTTTCCTCATCAGGGCAATTCTCTGCTTCCGTCACAGCTCTCGCTGTGTCACTCTGCAGCTGCCGAACAAAGGTGACAGGCTTTAAAACAGGCTGCTGGCCGTTTGTATTTAGGTCCTTCTTTCCTCTATTCCCAGCCTGCAACGATCCAGCATCCAGACGAGACCTGGGGAGCAGCTTTTCCACCATACTGCGCATCTTTACCCGAAGCCTGAGAGATTTGGAATAAAACGAGGCCATTGTGAGCTGGATGTTCTAATCAAAGCTACACTTCACTTCAGTTTGAGGTTCATCAAAGATGTCGCTATCCAGAAGTTACTCCTGGTGGTAGTTTGACATTGGAAAGCAAGGCTGATAAACAGAGACGTGTTGGACCCACCTCTCTCTCTCCACAGCACCATGTTGCACATCTGTGCTGTTTTTCTGCAGCACAATTTCCCTCAGTCTGACAGGAATGACTCTGTTCTGCTCCCCAGCACATCTGCAGAAAGAGAAATCATTAAATGAAGCATTTAACAGCTTCCCAAACCTGCAACAGCGTCATGCCGCGTCTGCCTTCTCCCACAAAACAGTGTCCTCATTCAGAGATGGCTTTAGGGAGTTCTCAGTGTGAGGGAAAATGGGTTTCTATTCACAGAACCAGAGCAGGGCGTGATGCAAACTTTACGTTGCTGGAAAGGAAGGTGTGGCTGTAAAGCTGCAGTTCCATCCACAGACAATTTATATGTGCCTTGCAAAGTATTCAACCCCCTGAAATTATTTCACTTTTTTTCACATTACAACCACACATTGTATTTTTAACCTGAGTGTAATGTAATCTTAACATAAATCCATTGGGTTGGTTAGATGGAGACAAAGCAACGTCATGAAGGCCAAGAAACACAGCAGAGGGGTCTGGGAAACAGTTATAGAGAAGTTTAAAAAAGGCTTTTTGTTGCACAATAAATTTAATTCCATTCAAATCAATTCAGTTTATTTATATAGCGCCAATTCATAACACGTCATCTCAAGGCAATTTTACAGTTCAACCAGATCATACAGTCAGATTGATTCAAAGTGTTCTATCTAAGGAAAACCAGTTGATTGCATCGACTCATTGACTCAAATGCAATCCCTCACACTAAGCATGCTTGTAACGACAGTGGAGAGGAAAAACTCCCTTTTAACAGGAAGAAACCTCCAGCAGAACCAGGCTCAGTGTGAGCAGCCATCTGCTGAGGCCGACTGGAGTTTAAGGAGACAGAAGCAGAGATATAAAAAGCAGCTGTAAAAGGCGGCCCCGTCCAGGAAACACACAGCCAGGCAGACGAGCTCCAATAAATAAATGTAGAGCACTTCTCCAGCTATCCAAAAGTATAAGGACAGAGGTACAACAAGTTAGTAAACTTTTCTTTAATAGCACATTTTAGTAAAATGAAAAAGAAAAAACAAAGAGGTAAAAGAGCAGCAGCTATCAAAAAGCATACAACCAGTTAAAATGCTGAATAAACTGGTCTTTAGCTACTTATTAAAAGAGTGTACAGAGTAAGACATATGGATGCAAGGTGTTCAGCTGCATAGGGGCAATAGCTCTAACGCCCTCTGGTCCTAAAAGAAATTCACAGAATCAATTAACAGCCTTTGAATGTAAGATCTCAAACAGAGAAAGGAAATGTAACTGGAAAAAGATCTGTAATCTAGGTGGGAGAATTACCATGTAGCACTCTGAATGTGAACAAATGTAAAGGTAACCAATGTTAAAAGAATAAAACTGCAGTATTAGTAACTGACTGTAATGGTTTAGATGTTTCCTTATGCAAACACACTGAAACCATCAAGAACAGAGGAAGAAAGGCAGGAATCATAATCTGTAATTGAGGCTCTGCCAAACCAAAGTTAAAGCTTAATAACATGTCTCAAAGTAAGACTGTTAGCCACTATTAACACACTTAGAGGTAGGGTTGTCAAAAGTATCGATACTCAAAAAAGTATTGATACTAAAATGCTGTATCCGGATACAATACTCGTTTTTAAAAGTATCGATACAGTGCCACCACCAGTGGCACCTAAGCAGTCATTCATCTAAAGTGCAGAATAGAGGACAATGCACTTTCAGAGCACTGTGTGATTGAATAATTTTTGTAAGAGGTGCAGCTGCTGAGAATTATTTTTGTTTTTAAACTGGTTTGGCTAGCGTCATTGTTATGTGTGCAAAGCATAGCCAAGGAAGGAACACTTAATTTTAATTTTATAAGTTTTTTATCAAGCTTGCTTAAAGGAATAGTACACCCAAAACATGATTAGCCTTCATTTTCTACTCACCCCCATGCTGAACAACACTCTGGAGTACTTTTTTGATATCTCAAATGCATCTGGAGATCTGGGAGGCTTCTTGCTGTCTGCTGACATTCAAATAATGGAGGTCTGTGGTGCCCGAGGCAGAAAGGTCCATAAAAGTCCACAAAAAACGTGTCAATATTCCTCCATACTGCTCGTCCAATGTATTCCAAGTGTCCTGAGTGGGTAGCATCCAGAATTTACTCGAAACGAACTCATTTAGAATGTTTTTAGAGCATAAACAGTAGTGTATAGGATTTCCTAAAAGCGCATGCATGCGAGTTCATGAGTCTACGGAAACCGCGGCAGACCAAACCAGATGAAAGTGCGCATTCAGCGTCTCCTCTGCCGATAATGCAAGTGTAGAAGAAGAAATGTGCTGTTTACCTGTGCAAAGAGAGAAACAACAAAAGAAAAATGTCTGAGGACTTCAGTGTTGAGGAAGAGCATGAGTTCTTTGCCGAGCTGAATGCGCACTTTCATCTGGTTTGGTCTGCCGCGGTTTCCGTAGACTCGTGAACTCGCATGCGCGCGCTTTTAGGAAATCCTATACACTACTGTTTATGCTCTAAAAACATTCTAAATGACTTCGTTTCGAGTAAATTATGGACGCTACCCACTCAGGACACTTGGAATACATTGGACGAGCAGTATGGAGGAATATTGACACGTTTTTTTGTGGACTTTTATGGACCTTTCTGCCTCGGGCGCCATAGACCTCCATTATTTGAATGTCAGCAGACAGCAAGAAGCCTCCCAGATCTCCAGATGCATTTGAGATATCAAAAAAGTACTCCAGAGTGTTGTTCAGCATGGGGGTGAGTAGAAAATGAAGGCTAATCATGTTTTGGGTGTACTATTCCTTTAATATTGTGCACAGCATACAACCTTTATTGTATTTATTTATTGTATTTTATTTATGAATGAAAATATTTCTGTAGAATTTTGGAGTCTTTATTTTTATCCTTGTGGTATCGAAAATGGTATCGAGTATCGAATATTTTCCTTAGTATCGGTATCGAGTTGAAAAGTTTAGTATCGTGACAACCCTACTTAGAGGTTAAAAATAAAATCTTCAGTTGGCTAACTAATAACATCACCTCCCTCCTACAAGATTATAAATGGACTACAGGGACAGATCTGAACACAAATAGCAGAAGAAAGATTAAGGAAAGATCATTCTGGGTCTTTTTCCAACAAATTCCTGCTGGAGGCATTCCTCATCAGGAAAACTATCCAAACTCAGCAGGAGACAGAAAACCTTGTTCCAGGCCATAAGGAATAAAGGGAAATTAAATGAGGACTATAATCTATTTTTTGATCTCAGCTCAGAGAAAAACAACAGTAAATGCTGTGATTAACAGTACTTCGTATTTAAATGAATTAGAATGCTTGGAGAAGGTTGTGTCTCAACATGGTTCTCTACAAACATTTATGCTTTTTTTAATATACTTCAATAAGAAAATATTTTTATGAACAACAGATGTTGAGCATCCTGAAACTAATTTATCACAATATCAGTTTACAATACCACAATGTTCTACAAATTAAAGGATAGAAGTAACATGAAGCAAAGGGCCATGTAAGCTCATACAGAACTACATTACAGCAGAAAACACATTTAGGAAGAACAGCTGCTTTATTCCTCCTAGTGTCACTAAATGACCAGTTTGCTGTTTTCCCTGATCTTCATAAAACTGCTTGTTTACTAGTTGTTCACTTATAACATACATCTGTGGTGAATAAATAGATTTAAAATTAAGATTACCTCACACATAAGTGGACTCTGATTACAGATACAATTAGTGCTGAAGCCAACTGGTTGCTTTGGGTTTTATTTAGAGGCATCAGAGTAAAAAGGGAGAATACAAATCATCCCCCTTAAGCATTTTGGACAACTTTATTGTGATCTATTGCATGAAATTCCAGTAAAATATGTGAAGATTTTTTGTAATAATTTTTATTTTTTTTAATATTGAAAGGTTAAATGCATGAATACATTTGCCAGAAACTTCATAGAGTGATAATATGTGAAAATCATCCATGTACAAATTTATCATTTAAATGAAACTTTCAGGAATAAATCTCGTAAACTAATATATTCATTTAGTGAGTTTTTTCCTGACAGAACTTGTTGTTGAGACTTTAAATTAATGAAGAACTTGTGAAATAAGACAAATATCCAAAAAGGTACTGAAGCAAAAATGTCAAATATTATAGGGGTTAAAATAAAGATCAGATTTCTTTTATTATAACTTTGTAACCTTAAGTTAATAATGTCTCTCAGTGTGTTTTTTTTTGGAGGAATAAGGTTTTCTTTTTTTTGTTATTGAGTGAAAACCCCAAGAACTTTAATGTGCCTCTTTATCGAGATTAAAGTTAGCATGTTCACTTATTTAAAGGGGTCATAGAATGCAAAACCGAGTTGACATTGTCATAGATGAATAATGATAGTTTAGTGGGTGAAATGGACGTACAGAGAAGTTCAAACCCCTTCGATTCCTCCTTTCTCTGCAAATCTCACAATTCCGAACTTCCACCATAAAACGGGCGAATCCAAACGAAGCACCGTGTTGGAGTAAACTCGGGGATGTTGCCTTATTTGGTTCTGGCCTTTACTTTTGTCACACCCCGAAATTTACATGCAGACCAGCCAACTGTTTTACTGGCCCAAGGGAGAGGGGGTATGAAGTCTCGACTGCTGGGCAGCTGACTGGACCGGACCTCAGCAGAGAGCCATGAGCCTCCTGGAAGAGGTGGGCCAGTAAGGCAGGCAGGAGGAAACACGGGGTCCTGCCTGTGTCCAGGCTACCGTCACTGGGACGGGTTCGGTCGCTCCATGCCCCGCTGGTTCCCTGCTCCCCTCAGCCGGGGTTCCCGGACCAGCCCCGGAGCTGACGGTTCAGCTCAGTTCGAATTTCCCCTGTGTTTCTACTACCGTATTTTCACGACTATAAGGCGCACTTAAACGTCTTTTTTTTCCCTCAAAATGTGCGGTGCGCCCTTTGGTGCGGTGCGCCCTATGTGTGTTGTAACTGCGACTTTTGAGACCACCTCATTGAGGAGATGATGAAAGAGTGGCTGAATGGAAGGAGACCAGGTGTTTTTTTTCCACTCATCACCATCGCTGTTAATATGTAACTCCATGCGTGCCCATCTCACAGCTGATGTGAAAAACATGGGGAAACAAATTAACGCTGTGCTCGCTGTTCAACCACTCCACATCGGTGTGAACCGGACCCAGCAGGTGCAGCAGAAGCAGCGAGTTTACATGCAAAGTCAATGGTTGACGCGCGTATAGGTGCAGCAAAAGGTCCCGCAGCGCGTTTTGAGCTGCAGCCGCAGCGCCTCGGGAGCGTTTAAGTATCTGACGCACCGCCAACGCGCTGCTGCTGCTAGAGATGGAAAAATTGAAGTTTTGCTGCTGGACGCGCCGCATCAACCAATCAGAGAAGCTGATCTGGGAGCTGACAGCGAGACAGACACATCGCTCTGATGACATGATATTAACGCCAATGAAAAAGGCTGGATGAATGAGGAGATGATGAAAGGCAGGTGTATGTGAGGAGACCAGGTGCTTTTTTCCACGCATCACCATCGCTGCGTGCCCATCTCACAGCCGATGTGAAAAAAAGGTGAATCAAATGGACGCTGTGCTCGCCGTTATCCCGGGGGTCTGACAAAGGAACTTCAACTGCTCGACATCGGTGTGAAGCGGCCATTCAAAGTAAGGCTGCGAGCGGCGTGGGAGCGATGGATGACAGACTGAGACCACAGTTTCAGGATAAGTGGAAGGCAGCGCCGGGCAAGTTACGCCACCGTTTGAGGATGGATTGTAGATGGACTAACGTGTCTGCTGGCTCTGTTGTTCAAGCTTTCGCAAAAGCCGGCATTATTTCTGAGGAGCCGCGCTGCACGGAAAGTGACTGACAGCCTAGAAGGGGAAATTGGCATGTCTGATTTAGCGCAGCTGTTTTATTCAGAAACAGAGGATGATGACTTTGATGGGTTTGATTAATACTTTGTAATAAATACATGAATAAAGCACAATCATACTCAGTTTTGCTCCCGCTCTATTTTTCTACCTGAAAACTTAATTCAACAGCAGCCTCTGGGCGCGTCTCCTCCTCTTCAGCGCGGTGGCTGGCAGGTGTTTTTTCATCTAAATAATCTAAATCTTGCAGCTATATTTGCTGTGATCAGTGGGAATAAAGTAGTTTTAATATGTTTTTAAGTGAGAAAGTCCACCTGAAAACTTAATAATTGCAGTCAGTTCATCCAGATTATCTATTTCTGTCGGAGCCGCTCAGACCCCCACATACCAGCGATGCACCGACAGCAGAAAACTATTCAACAGCAGCCTCACCGTGGCGGCTGGCAGGTGTTTTTTATCTAAATAATTTAAACTGCAGGCACCAGGATACCTGCAATAAAAGCGAACATATTCCGTCGGCAGGTTTTAGGATTTTAAGTTAATTTAGGAGTAATCACAGCGCACTGTCATCTGCGATGTGTCTGTCTCACGGCCAGCTCGCAGGTTTGATTAATACTTTGTAATAAATACATGAATAAAGCACAGTCATACTCAGTTTTGCCCCCGCTGTATTTTTAAATACACAGTAGAGGTATTTAAAGGTAGTAGAGGACATGTACCTGTATATAAAAAATGCGCCCTATAGTCCGGTGCGCCTTATGTGTGTGTTAAATACAGAAATGGGACACATAACTGAGAGTGCGCCTTTTAGTACGGTGCGCCTTATGGTCGTGAAAATACGGTATATGCTGCACTATAGTCGACCAAAATCCCGGACAATTTTAAAATTAAACCCTGGACATTTTTTTAAGTATGAAAAATAGGACATGTCTGTTAAAAAGAGGACGTCTGGTCACCCTACCATATCAATGATTTCGATGTTTCAGTGAATCAGTGGTTGTTGCTATGATGCGTCTTTGCTCAGCAGCTTCACTCATTGTAAACCAACCAATCAGTGCACAGCTCATCTAAATATTCATGAGCATACCATAAAAGGAAGAAAACCTGTCGTTTCATTTCAGGGCTTTTAACCAGGCTTGCATTAGGGGTCATAGAACAGCAAATATGCCATTTTCAGCCCAACTAATGTTACACACCCTATAAGGACCTGCACCAAATACCCTATAGAATCATTCTCTGAGCCCTTTCAGAGGAAATAAAGAGATTTCAGATGCCCTCTGCGGTGCTAGAGCTGAGTAGTAGGGCAACTTTTAAAATACACTGAATGGTGAGAGAGAAAAGTAAAAGTGAAATATTCTATGTTTTAGTTTCAACAGAAAAGGACAGAATGGTTTCAGACACGCAACAGAGATTAGGTGTACAAAGGCAGCTCTTAAAGGGAGACGAGGGAATTCAAGGAAGGGGAAAAAACAAAGAATTCCTCTGGAGTTGACTAATCATATTAGATTGCCAGAAAGATTTGAGAAAAGCTGAACCACAGTCAGTTTCACAGTAAATCAAACCTATCCCCTAATGGGATCCAGTACTGTATGAATAAATACTAAAAGAACGTGACCCAAACAAGACTTTGCTCTTTTCTGCCAGATAATAGATCACAGACTATCTTCTTACCCGGAGCGATCTTCCTCTGCAGAAACTGAAATGGGACGTTGTTTGCGGCAGAGGGCGTCGCTGATTGAAAGAAGTTCACTTTCGGGCAAACTTGGAAGAAGGAGGCGCAGAACCTCAGAGAGAATAGAACCAGAGAGACGACTCTGCTTTAGCAGCTGAGAGGCAAACTCCAGATCCTGTCAAGTACAGACTCTCTTTACTTTCTTTTCTCCAACAGAAACATTTCCACTGCTTATTAAATGTTAAGAAAATGATATCTGACCTGATCACAGTTTGAATAAAGTCTTTTAAGTTCAACTTGCTCTTTTAATTCTTCTTTTTCTTGATCGTTGATGGTAATCTCTTGAAACCTGAAGGGAAGAACAGTTTCAACACCTGTTATTACCACACGCTAGACAAAGAAGGTTTATTGTATTTTTATAGATCAATCCAAACACAGGGTCATTTTGGAGTTTTTTTTTTTTAAGGTAAATGAAACAAAGTAAAGAAAAATAAAGCATTAAAAACCAAGAATGTCCTGAATCAGAAAGAAACATTTAAGCATAAAATTACAAACATGGCTGAAAGTTTGAAACAATTCATCCATGATTCAAATGAAATGTTTATGACTAAGCTGCTACAAAAGGTAATGTTTTCAGTTCTAATTTAAAGCAGGGGTTTCCAACCTTTTCCAGGCCATGACCCCCAAAGAGCGCTTAAGTATTGCCAGTCTATCCAAACTAACTAGCAACGCCACGTTAATATGTACATATCAATAAAGCTATATTAAATAATAATACATTGGAATATATTATATTTCAAAATTAAGGGAAAAAAAAGCTTTGCAGTCTATCTATGTAAAGATAAACTGCAAAATTTACTTGTTGGCTTTATGTTGTTGTTGAAATGAAAATCAGATTATAATTCTTTCTATGGTGTTTAACCTCACTGACTAGCTGAACGCAGTTCTCTGACACTGTTACTGCAATAAAAACAATTTGCTTCTGCCTTTTCCGCATCTTATGCATCCACTCAATGACTGAAGGACTAATCCAGACATCAGCATATGCATGCTAGCTCATGAGCTATACTAAATACTGAACAGAAGTGGTCTAAAGGGCTGGTTATTCTCCCGCAGCAGTGTGTCGCAGTGAGCTTGTCGCAGATATGTTTGATTTATGCCCAATATTGAAGCGTGGTCTACCCTATGTTATTCCACACCAAAACGCAATAGGGACAATCATGAACTAGCTGTGGGTCTAGATACGGTCGAGGCGGTGAGGAAGTGCGGGCAAGTTTGTGCAACAATGGAGGGACATGAGGGCGAAAAAGAGCAGGGATCCAGGTGGAAAAAGGGTCCCAGTGTTCTTGCACACTTCGCTCTACAATTCATCTTCATGAGTCGTTTTCCACAATGGCGATCATACAAACAAAACAAGCCAGTAAGGTACCAAACAGGAAATACACATGGTGTATAGCAGATGTAGATTTGCACAATCAGAGAACTCCTGTCTGCGGCACTGTCTGCGGTCACCTACATTTTTGGAGAGGTGCAGCAGAGTGTCTGCAGAAAGGGCGGAGGAACATTTGCATTCACTGCGACACAAACGCAGACAACCTGGTCTCTGAGTATAAATCAGCCTTAAGAATGGAGTCTTGAACAGGGTTCCCACACTTCAGGTAAAATTCAAGTAGTTTCAAGAACCTGCCAGATGCCTTTCCTCAAATTCAAGGAACAAGTGGGGCAGGGTTTACCTCCTGCTACCATTTAAAATATCATCTTTAGTTGCATTTTCATGGCCATTAGTAATGAGAATAATCCTCAGGAGAAGGAATGAAACCGTCACCTTCCGTTGTGCATGGCGAACCGGGTTCAAATAGAGTGATGGCACCCAACGTTGGAAAGGTTGCATATGCAAACAACTGAACCAGGATGCTGATAACATGAGTTTGTGGCAGAACCTGAGCTCCACATGTAGCCCCTCTGTGAAAGAATGCCAGAAGAGCCTGAAAGACCCAGAGCCATCAGATGTGATAATCAGATAAAATGCCTTTAAAAAATCAAGCATCCAGAGGATGTGTTTTTAGATGATTAATTTCTGCAGTTTTCAGGGATGGAGGAAAAAGACCTGATGGAAGAAAAAAAAACTTTTCTGAATAGCTTACCTTTCAAAGGCCAAGGCAGTGACCTGCTCACACTTGTGAAGAGCCTCCTGAAGAATGGAGGTCATGCTGTAATCTGGCCGAAGCTCAAACACATCATCTTCACTGGCCTCCTGTCCCTCAATGCCCTCTTCCTGGGTTTCATGAGGCATTGCTCCAAGCGGAAACATCTGTAGTCTGTCCAGCTCTGTCCTGTCTGCCTGAAGCTGTTGTTCTGCTTCTTTGAGGCTCTTTACAAGGAAGAATCAATTAAAAATGAATTTGCAATGAAACAATGGAGTATTTTGAAGAAAAGAAGTACCCACCAAGCAGTGACTGTGTATGCTGGGAGCCATATCCTGAAGATCTGGGATTTTTCTCTCCGTGAGCTGCTGAATGAGCAGGCTCTGCAGGGTGACCATGGCCTTGGATGTCTCCAACACTTTGGTCCACCTCTCAGCCTTCTGAAAGATGATGGTAGCCATCTGCATTGCCAGGCTGTCCGCTTGGCAGAGCAGATAAACTTTCCTCTCTCTCTGCATTTCCTCCATTACCTGCCAAAAATACATAAAAGAGAGTTTCCTTAACTAGTCTGATATATATATATATATATATATATATATATATATATATATATATATATATATATATATATATATATATATATATTTATTAGGGATGGAACGGTTTATGAAAATCGTCTGAACCGTTCGGTTCGACTGTCTCGGTTCGGTTCGCGTGTTTTGCGTTCGGTTCATGTGCTGCTCCATTTTCTCATAGGCGAAGCGTTTACACTCCAGAGCAGAAGGTGGCGGTACTTCGACCAAAGCCAACCACCAGTAGTAAACAAGAAGAACAAGAAGCGAAGCAGCTTAACCGGGTGTAGCAGGGAAAAAAATCTGCTGTTGTGGAGAATTGTGTGGGTATGGCGAGTGGGAAAGAACAGGAGTTGGGAGACGCGCCAGCAGCACCTTATAGGTCTGCTGTATGGGACCACTTTGCATTTAGAGTGACCTTCGATGACAGCGGAAAGAAAGTTGTGGATAAAAGTGCAACAGTGTGCAAGCATTGTGCAACACGTTTTGTTTATGCTAACAGCAAAAATGACCAACATGTCATGCTAACCCCGAAATCCCACATACTCCATCAGCGCCCCACTCCGCCCCGCTGCGCTCCAGACCGGCTGCACAAAGCAAAGCATACAGCCTCCACTGTGGCTCCCGTCCGCTCCGCTCTGAGTTTTTTGTAGATCGTAGAGGGCATGCGCGAGATGATTAAATTCAAAGCAGCAAAACATGCGGAAATGATCCATGGTTTCCACGAATCATTAAAAATAATTACAATTCATACATTTTTTTGGATTTTTTCCATTCATTTCATAAAAAAAAAATTCATTAATTTTTATAATTTTTATAAATTTTTTTATTTTTCGGTGTAACAATAAACATATACCGAACCAAACCGAAAACCGTGACCACGAAACCGTGAACCGAACCGAACCGTGGATTTTGTGAACCGTTCCACCCCTAATATATATATAACTTATTTAACTGATAGCTCTACCTTAATCATAACACCGCTCTCCATCTCCCTCTCTTTATCAAAAAGTTGAATTCTGTCCTGGAGCCTCTGCTGGAAACACGCCACCTCAGAGGTGTCTGTTTTCTTTCTGGTTTCAGTGGTTTTCCCCTTAGATTCCGTATTTTCCTACAAAAAAAAACACGCATTTAAAAAATTAGTTGGAAAGTGACTGCACATGGAAAATAATGACGTGATTACAAATGAAATCACCCTGTAGGGTCATGTACACTTTCTTTTATATAACAACCATTCTTCCAGGAGCCATGCATTAACAGGTCTGACCGCTGTCCTGCTCTTCCACGATAAACTCCTAAACACTCCTAATCTAAAACATGATGTAAAATCTCAGTCTAATAGAGTTTAGGAAATGATTTATTGAAAAATATAAAAGAGATAAAAATATATCAATGATCAAAGAGGTTAGAATAGAAGACAGTGACTATTAACATTTAAAGGCTTGTTCCAATTCTGTTGCTCTGATGTCCATGGGAGCCAGGACTATTATATTTGAATAAAAAACTGTTTAAGGAACACTATATTATGAAGCTATGCAATGGAAGGACAATCTTTCCTTTGTATAATCAGTGTCAGACTGCCACATATTAGGACTGACGTTAAGAGAAGTTACAATACTGGTGCACAACCAGATAGAGCAGCAGTCAAAGGTTCTCTCCTCCATTTGGCTCAAGCACTAAGAAAAAATCAATTGATCTTATATAGGTATTTTATTGAGGGGAAACGTGCAGGACCGAAGTTTGGAGAGAGGCTCTGAATTACACCCGATGTCGCTGCATAGTGGGTTTGATCCTTTGAGCATTTTTAATGTGTTGCAAATAAGTCAACTTATTAACTTTTTAATTCATATATATTTTCCATTCATTCTTTAATTTACTCTATTCATCTCTACATTTCTGTTTGCATTTCTGTCACATTATGCAAACGAGGAGTTGCGGTGCCCTCGTGCCTAAGCTTCTACCATGAATGCAGTAATATCTAATCAAGATATTGAAGTTGAAGCCTGAAGACCCTGCCCCACATAATTTATATTATTTATATATTATTATGATGCAAAAATGCATACAGAAATGTAGAAATTATTTAATTCAATCATGAAAGAATGAATGAATATATAAATGATGAATGAATACACAAATAATTAAATAATAAAATAAAGCATCCAGTGTCTCGTTTTTGGAGCTCCATACATCCACGTGGATTTTAAGAAGAAATTCTAGAGTCACTGACAAAGTTCAGCATAGGGTCTATAGAAGCACAAACACTGAAGACTGTAATAATGTATTCACCATCTCCTCTTCAGTTTTTGCTCTCCACGCAGCCAGAGCAGTGTGGAGTTTGGCTCTGGAGGTGGCGTGAGGCAGCACCAAACAGCGGTCTATTAGGGACAGACTCTTCTGGAACTCCAGCTTCATCCTCAGCCTGTCATCCTCAGACAGTGTCAGCTGAGACGAACACAGAGACCTGAGACAGAGTGAAACAAGGAGGAAATGACAGGAAACCTTACACAGATTAAGTAAACATTGATCTTAAATGATAAATAAGGTTAAATACATTATTTGTTGCTTTGGACAGAGTCGGTCTTCAGTTAATGCAGTGGTTCTCAAACTTTTTCTGTCATTCCCCACTTTGGACAAGGGGGAATTTTCAAGCCCCGCCTGTCCCCATCGCCCCAACACAATGCTAATGAAATATGAAACAATCTTAAAATGTTCCAATTTTATTGAACAAGTAGTATCTAAATACAAACTATCTACATCAAATAAAAGCAAGCTCAAAAATAAAGAAAATAAAAATGCAGCTGTGTCAAAATTTGTATCAAGCTCAAAGATAGAAAAAATTAAAGTGCCACTCTGCAATCTGTTAATAAAAGAAAAGAAGTGAAATCCATCTGGCAATACAGGTCTATTTATCCCTGCATCAGTGGCTGCAATGAGCCTGTTTTGCATTGCACAGTTTCTCAAAACGGGGTTGCAGGCTTGATACTGCCACTCTCAAGTCATGCTTTGTTTTCAGTGAAGCAACAGCTGAAAAGCCCATCTCACAGAGATATGATGTGGCAAAGGGAAGAAGAATGCACACAGCTCTCTGCCCGATGAGTGGATACTCCCTCTCCACTCCAAACCAGAAACATGAACATGTGGCTGTGTGAATCAAACGCCGTTATTCATTTAAGATAAAATATTTCAAATTCAGTTATTTATGATCAACCTGCGCCGTCAATCCCGGCCATGTGCGCTTTATTTGCAGTCTGGATGCTGAGGGTAAACATGCTGTGTCCCTTACTGCAGCACTGAGAGGGACTCCTGCGATAGCGGGGGAGAACGGGGTTGGGAGGGAGGAGGCGCCCCACGGCAGCACCTGCCGCTGGAGGACAAGAAAAGGAACGATACGTGCTTTTAAGAGTCTCCAAAAGTCGCTAGATTTGTCGCTAGTCGCTTTTTTGAAAAAGAGTCGCTGGAGGGGTCTGAAATATAGCGACTAAGTCGCTGAGTTGGCAACACTGGGGCGAGAAAGTTTATTCCGTTACAAATAATATGCCGACGTCACGTCAATCATTATTTTGGCACTTCAGTTCCAGGTGAAACTTTTCTCATATCTAATGTTCTTTTAATTAGACTGCATGTAGGCTAGTAATGATTACTTTGTGGGTTTGATTGGTCTAAAAAGCGGCAACATACAGCTATAAGGACAGTTTGCTCTCACACGTTCTACTTTTATAGTCACACAACACACACACACACACACCGGAACTTGGCGCGCCCCACCTGTCACGTCTCAATTCCCCACCAGTGGGTCGCGCCACACACTTTGAGAACCGCGGAGTTAATGTAACATTATGATAGAACATAATAAATATTTATCTTTACCTTCTTTAAATGCAATAGATAATGCAGAGTTTTCTGTATTTTGATATTTTGATCCATGTCCCTCCATCACTCACCTGAAGAACTCTCTCCAGTGAGCCCTGAGTTCCTTCTGCTCCTGCAGCTCTTGCTCCATGCTTTCCTGCAGGGACTCCCTGGTGCAGCTGAGGGTTCGCAGTGCTGCCTTACCTTCCTGGTGAAGCCTTTCCTGGCCCTGCAGTAGAGCACTGGCCCCTTGCCCTGCAGCCTTCTCTGACCCCACCTCTGCTTCCAGGATGGGCTGTATGGGCAACATGGGCTGTTTAGCACCCGGCGGCAAGAGTGTCAACAAGGCCTGTGCAGCGGAAGGCTGGATGGCTTTCACATCGGCTATCACACTCTGAATCCCTCGCATCGTCACCTAAAGAGAAAGTTTAAGCTTTTATTAAAATTATTACTATTTCTGCATTGATTTAGCTCACAGAGTGGCACCTTGCGGATGTCGGCAGCAGCCTCCTTGTCCAGATTGTTGATGAGTTCTGCGAGCTCCAGGCTGTGCGCTGTCAGTAGGTTCTGCCAACACTGCAGATGGTATGCTACATCTATGTTCTCTTCCAGACCTTTAGTAGTGCTGGATAAGTCGCTCTGTCTCTGCTTGTGGACCTTCAACTGGACAACAGGACACAATGCAATATTACTTTTGGAAATATTTGTTTCATAATAGATTTTTAGCCCAAAGAAAATAACCTGATGTAATAAAGTCATGAGTTTGGTCTCCTAACCATGTCTGAGATGAGCCCTCTCCTCTTGTTAATTAGTCCGCAACGCATTGCTCTCTTTTCTTGGTTCAGGGTCTCATCCAATCTTTGCTTCACCATAACAAGCTCCTTCTGGGCCTTTTCTTGCAGCTGATTCAGCTGTTCTGATGGTACAATGCTCCCCCTGGTGGTCAAAACAAGCCAAACAAATGGTTAAGTGTTTTTAATGGTCAGGAGACTCTTTCTTATAAATACAGTCCTTCTAACCACAGATAAAGGTGAAATAACGCTGACAGGTACTAGGGGTGTAAATAATAATCGTTTTGTATCGATGCATCGATCCAAAAGCCGACGATCCGATGCATCGACACATCCGCAAGATAATCGATTCATGTTTTGTTTTTTCCTCCGGTCTATTTTTATCCAGTTGCTCCTGGACGTAATTCTCCCTCCCGTGCTACGCTGGCGCTAAACCTATGTTGCCCTCCTACCTCGCTTCCTGGTTATACTCTTACAGCAGTGTGTTGCAGTTAGCTTGACACAGACATTTTTTATTTATGCTCAATATTGAAGCGTGGTCTGTGCTGCACACTGTGGGTCTAGATACGGCCGAGGCGGCGAGGAAGTGGGGGCGAGTTTAGTCCGACGACGGAGGAACATGAGGGCCAAAAAGAGCGGAGATCCAGGTGGAAAAAGGGTCCCAGCATTCTCGCGCATCTCGCTCTTCTAGCGGGTCAAACTTCACGAGTTGTTTTCCGCAATTTCGGTCATAAAAACAAAACAAGCCGGCCTTCTGTCTGCGGCCCTGTTTGCGGTCAGCTACAATTTGGAAGAGGAGCAGGGGAGCGTCTCTCAAGGGGGCGGGGACGTCTGGAGCCGAGGTATTGCATTGCACTCATTGCACTGATCATGTGCAGTATTTTTTGATGCAACTTTTCTACTTCTCTTATTTGCTGTTGTTTCTAAAAAAAAAAAAAAAAATGCATAACGATATTACAGCTTTCATTGATTTATTTCAAACTTGAAACTTTGTTTAGCCTGTAAGGTGTATAAAAAAAACAATAAAAAAAAAAAAAACTAACCAATTAATCGAATCGTATCGTGGTGTATTCTTGAGTATCGAAAATAATCAAATCGTTGGGTCAGGAAATCGATACTGAATCGAATCGCCATTATGGGTGTGATTTACACCCCTAGCTGGTACATTAGATGAGGAAATCCCCGTAGATCTAAACAGCAGATGCAAACTGTTAAAACAGTTGATCCATTTTCTCTAACAATGAATTGTGTGTAAATGGAGATAAAAAAGAAATTATTCTTTTAAGGCTAAAACAGCTATGTAAGTAATGGATAAATCATTGAATTGATCATAGAGACTCCAAAACATGCCATTCCCTAAAATCACAACACAATATATAGATCTACATACATATCAAAAATGAATTAGATTCTGATTCGAATGATTTTAAATTCATTCCTTTTGATCTGGTCTGACCTCAAATTACATTGCTTGTATCAAAAACAATTTTCTTCGCCATTGTGACAAAATGATAAGCTAATTGAGACCGTTTTGCAACACAATTATCCTTTTACAGGATATTATAGATATTAATACAATTATATTCTCTATTATAGCTTTCACCTTCAAATTATTTAATTAATTGTATTTAATGACCTTTGGAAGGACGGTGATAATTTTGTTTTGTCTATTTAGGAGTGTAGTACTTAGTGATAGAAGCACCAGCAGTTGCTGTGGGGTAGTGGGGGGGTAAGCAGCATCACCCTAGCGAAGCAATGATGCTGCATTTTATTGGGACAGACAAACCGATTGGAGTCCTTTTGAACCTGGACACTCCACCCCTGCCATCACAGGTTGCTCTATATCTGCTGGGGGCGGGCATGCATTAGTTAGCCCTGAGAGGGAGTCTGAGTTGATGCAGAGAACAGGGTTCAAGTTTTCATTGTACTCTTCTTCATTATAGGTGCAAATAAGAAGGTATATGTGTTTAAAAACACAATTTCTGGAGCTGTTAATTACGCTGATTAAAAGTCAGTATCAGTTTAATTTTAGTGTAACTTTGATCACTTTCAGGCTGACAGCATTTACTCTGAAACAGAACCATGGGGGAGGGAGTCCAGATGTCAATCAAAGGACCAATCTGTTAATAAAAATAAACATATAGACTGAATTTCAGCTACACTGAAGCACCCCTGGGCAGAACCCTGAATTGATCTTTAGGAAATATTATGAGAATATATTTAGAGGGGCTGCAAAGTGACGCATTGGGTAGCACTGCTGCCTTGCCTCAAGAAGGCTCCTGGTTCGATTCACGGCTCAGGGTCTTCCTGCATGAGTTGCATAATCTCCCTGTGCATGAGTGGGTTCTCTTCGGGTACTCCGGCTTCCTGCCACAGTTCGAAAACATGACTCTTAGGCTTCTCTAAATTCTCCTTAGGTGTGAGTATGTGTCTGAATGGTTGTTTTTCCTGTTTGTCTCTGTGTTGCCCTGTGACCTGTCCAGGTTGTATCCCGCCTCTCGCCCATTGACAGCTGGAGATTGGCACCAGCACCCCTTGCAACACTAGCAGGGATAAGCGTGACGCAAAATGCATTGATTTAAATGAAGACATTTTTTTTGTAAGTAAATGTGTTTTACCCAGAACTCCTTAAATGGCATAGTTTTCGCTTCAACTGGTTTAAATTCTGCACAGTCACAAAATTAACGGATCGTTTCTGTAGGAGAGATAAAATCAGCGTAGATCTCGTAAAGACAGATCTTGTTGCTGGCTTATTTAACAGCCGGCTCAGAAAGGGTCGGTTCATACATGTAACACCAAAGTACAATAAATCTGAACAATGTTATGTATGTTATGTGTGACATCATAGTAACAAATGTGCCTGGCCACCATTTTACCTTTTAGTGTAAAAATTATAACGTACACCCCAATAATATGTTCTCAACTTTGTTGATCTGAGCAGTGTCTGAATGTTGTTCAGAGTGAACATACAGTATTGATGTTCACAGGGTGAGGGGGAAATTAGCAGCTGTACCAACCTCCTGATGTGGAAGAACCAGCTTTCCAAGTTGCTGGAGGTGCTGGAGAAGGTGTCGGAGATCAGAACATCGAGGCTGTGGAGGCTTCGCACCAAGAACTTCCTCTGAGCGCTGCGTTCAGCCAGGACGTACCGCTGATTGGCAACAGCCACATCCAGCACTTCCTCCAGCTGATCCTGGTCAGACAACGTCACATTGTGATTAATCTTTAAAACTCATTACTTCATTTATTTAGTTAAAAAAATAATAAATACAAGGACAGCAGGGTTTTTAAATTTAAAAAGTCTGACTTTGAAACTTCCGGCATCTAACAAGATGCTCACCTGATATGCAAAGTACTTGTGCTGAAGTCTCTTGGCTGAGCTCCCGTCTAACTCGCCCATCCTTGTGGCCTCCTCCAGTTCTTCTGAGAAGATCTTGTGCAGCTCCACCCGTCGCCACTCGATGAGCTCCCTCTGGACCTTTGCTGAAGCCTCTTCATGTCGGACCAAGAGGATCCGCCGTAGGTGACTCTGGCTCAAATTCTGCAGCTTCTCCAGGAGGATGCTGCATTGGAGAAGCTCCTGGCCACATAACATCAGTTGTTTATATATCATTTTATGGTTACTTTTCCCATTAAACACACGTTGCTACCTGCTGGCCTGCATGCTGGCAAAGCCGCTCAGCTTGGGCTTTTTCAGCCGCTTGTCTGCGATGCTCTGCTTCCATTTCCTCATGCGTCTCCAGGTTACACTGACCAGCCAGAGTAGCCATGCGAACCCCTTGTTCCTCTTTCAGGCGTCCCTCCATTCCAAGCAGCTGCCCATGGACCACACTGAGCAACCTCTGCTGGGCCTGGGCGCTGACCTGGCCCCGCGATCGCAGGCCACCGAGCAGGCAGAACGTCACATCTTTGTAAATCTGAATCCGGATGGCCTCCAGGTTACTGGAGGCTTGAACCAGTGAAGACATTTCAAGGCTTCAAAGACAAAACACAAGGAAATATTTATTTTTTTTTCAGGGGGGTGATTAAATAAAGGTTTGTAATGTAAGGATATTCTACTCACTTATCCAAAGCCTGGTACATATTTGGTGGCTCATCCAGCACCATGATGTCCACCATCTTGTCCTCAAATGCAGCTTCCTCTTTGATGGTCTCAATCAAGCTGGTCTCTGCAAACTCAGGATCCAAATCACATCTGAATCTCTAAAACAAAACAAAAATCACATGAATAAGACAGCAGGCTTTATGAATCACAGGTCCACAGAATCTTTGCAAATGCTTTTCTTACAATATAAAATAAATATATTAGCTTATAATGATGAATCATAAATTAGTAATTATATGACTTTTAAATATATAATTTAATGTCCTGAATTCAAACATTTTGACATTGATTTGCTGCATTAAACCTGTTGAACCAATGAAGAGAGTGGGCGCAACTCCTGCAGAGCTGAAATAAAGAGCTAACTGAGCCCCATCTTTCATTAGAGGCTCTTACTGCAGCAAGCTAACAGAAGCAAGCATTCTTCTTCGCTACTCCATACAGGTTTGGTGGTTTTATTAGATATCAATGACTTAAAGCTCATTGCGGCCAAACAATGATCCTTTTTTCTAATGCATAACTGCAATAATGAGAAAGATTGGTAACAGTAGCTGCTGCAGGAAAGAGAAGCTAGTTATTAAATGATATATATATTTTTTTTTTAACCTTTATTTAACCAGGAAGTCCCTTGAGATTGAAATCTCTTTTTCGAAGGGAGACCTGGCCAAGACGGCACACCAGTTAAAATACAAACAGAAATAAAACATAGACAAAATCTCACATAGAGGAAAAGACAGGTCACATAGGGCAGTTACATTTTTGAATGACATGACATTTTAACATGGCCTTAAATTCATTCAATGGGACTAGATCATTTAAATGGAGCAAGTTTTGCAAATTATTCCAGGACCATGGAGCAAAGTAAGAGAAGGATTTCTTCCCCAGCTCAGTAAAAACCATTGGAACCTGGTAAGAGCGCCACCTGGTGGAACAGAGATGAAAATGGCTGGAAATTAGCTTGAGGAGATTGCATAAATATGTAATATATTACTGAATTTAACACTTGATCAACCCAGAAAAAAGTCCATTGTCCCTAGAGAGTATATCATATTCATCAGAGCTGCAGTTTTCAAAGCACAGGCTTGTTGCAAACTTCTTTTCCATTTAATCTGATTTTGATTGAAAGCACGGACAGTGCTTTCCGTGATCCCTTCAATCCCAACCTCTAGCATTGAATCAGCAACACTGGACAACAAATCAAGCAACTGCGACAGAAGACCTCCCCAACTTTAAAGGTGCAATGTAAAGATGTATCCAGATGCAGGAAAATGCAGCATTGAAACAAGATTGTCCAGACAAATGCATTTGTCAATGGATAACACTACTCTGCAATTCAAACTCCCGACGCTGCAAATATGTTAAAAGGTACAAAGGTTTGCTCTCCTGTAGGCCACTGTACTTAGAAACCTTCTTCTCAGGACCACAGAGATTTAAGTGTACAAGTTTGCACCTGACCTTTAAGCATGCACCTGTATCCTCTTGCATCCTTGATAGATTGCCTTGCAGGTGATAAGTGATTACATTTACAAGCTTTTACACTTAGATCAGTGTCTAACCACCTAAGTTTCAGGTTGCAGATGCACTAAGAGAGAAAAACAATTTTTGGAGGTATGTTCTTTTGTATTTAAAAGTGTTCGTAATTAAAAGCATTCGAAAACAAAGAAAATGGTATCATGCAGAGGACAAACATAGAAGGTTGTCAGTCTGAAAACATTACAAAGGTAGAGTAGAGGGGTTGTAATATTACATTTTTGTGGTGATTTGGTGCAGGACAACATTTAAACAGATTTTTATCCACAATGAGGCAGCATCTCAATATATTAGGCAGGAAGTGAAGACCTCCAAATGGACGATTATCCAAATCGCACCACCGAATTATTTACAAAAAATTATAATTCATATTTGAACAAAGTCATACAGCTTAAAAGGCAATTCTCCAAAACAATAAAGAAATAAATAAACTTCTGACTGAAAAATGTGTACACTGATAGATATTCTCCACCTAATGATTGTGATATTCAGCAAAGAAACATTGATGGTAATAAAAGAAAAGTTTTGTCTTTTTTAATGTCAGAAAGAAAGGAAAAAAAAGTTTTTGTTTTTTTGCAGTGTAAATAAATATCTTGTATACAAATAAATGATGAACACATTTAAACATGCTGATACCCTTTGCTGAAGAAGACAGGATCTGGCTCTGGGACTAGCAAATTTCATGATGAGAACCCCCAACAATAGCAGCACCAACGTGATGAAGAAACCAGCAACAAATCCAGCAAAATGGACTCCATGATTGGGAGAAATCTGAGAAGACAAGCAGAACAAACAAAAAATAATAATAAAAAATCACAAACAAACGCTTTATTATGCAAGAAAAAATGACCTATTAGAGACTTACCTTGTCGGTGGAATTTACCCTCAGAGTCAGATTGGCTCTTAGTGGCCCAAACATACGGACATCATTCTGTGGGATAAAAAGAAAAAAAGGAAGACCTAATCATTACGACTGATTCTATTACCGTATGACAAATGTGAGAGAGCTGGCTTAGCACAAAAATATAACAGAAGGAGAAAACCAGACCTGTGATGCATTGCAGAAGGTCAGGAAAGCAGGGAGATCTAGGAGCTCATTCTTGTGACTTCTTATGTGAGCAGTATAATTAACAACCACATGAGATCCGGCTAATCAACAAAAAGCAATAAAACTGAATTAATTTGGATCTAAAAAAATCCACATCTAAAATTTAAATATAGAAATCTTTATATAACGGTCTGATGCAGTCACACACCCTGCAGGGAATCGATAGAAAATGTCTGGTAGCCTCTTTCGACGACCCTGCCTTCAGTTTTGATGGGCGTTACCCCGGAAATGGAGTCTCGTATGGCCATCTGAGAAAGGTTGGTCCCACCTGAGGGGCTTTGATTGTGGATCAGTAGGAAGAACGTCACCTGAGGGGGATCGGTGTAGAGCTTCACCTTGGTGGAAAAGATCGGCAGGGAAAGATATTAGTAATCACTTTCTATCAACTACATTTACTAACAAACTGATTTCTGCTGGAAAAAGCAGATTTACCTGGACACACTTAGAAAATTTTACCCCGAATGACGATGGAGGCACCGAATTCTGAACCTGGGGAAGTAATCCAAAGATCTGGATATTTCAGACACTATATTAATCCATCGGGGAATTCAGATCAAAACATGGAGACGACCTGAGGAGGAGGCTGAGGAGGGCTGTGGCTGATGAGAGTGCTTCTGCTCCTTCTGAGCTGCAACAAGTTTGACACGGAGGTGAAGGAGGAGTAAAAAGAGTGACTCCAAGGCCCAGCGGGGGCCGAAGACAGACATGGGCTCCATTCATTAACAGTAGAGGGCCCATGGATCACTTTACCTACAAGACCAGAAGACAGTGTTTGACCAAATGGTTAAAGAATCTGAAAATCACAATAAAGACGGACATCAGTTTTTGCATCAGAGTAAAAACTTGAGTAAATTATATTCAGTTTTTGTTAGTATACAAATATACTTTTTAATATGAAAGCTGCAATAGCTTATAGTGACTGAAGATGTATTCACAAATGCTTCAGGAGTCAATATTTGTCTGCCATTGTGTCTACAAACCATTGATCCTGAGCATGGCCAGGCCAGCTGACTTTCCTCTTTGGCTTTGATGCATTGCAGGAAGATTGCAAAGGTTCTGTGAGTGGAAAAAAACATCATTACAGCTTTATTAAGCCTTAAGCTAAAAAATATATAACAATAAGCTTCATGGCATACCCTTCAGTACCAAAAGTATATCTACAGTACAAATAAAGCACAGCTTTCTAAATCATTCCTTAGACATTCAGATTGCTTCTACAAACATTTGGAAAATAATTACTAGTTTCTAAGGCTGGGCAGATGGATCCAACCTCAAATGGTTGCAGTTGCACAATGCATGTGGGCACTGGACTCAAGGCAGGAGGAAATTTGTTCTCTAAGGTGTGACTAATAGTGTGTTTTGCTTGGTCAATGCCATAGAAGATCCTACACTGTTTACATTTTGTTCACTACGGCACTTTATGAATAGAAATGTTCATCTTCACTGCTAACCTGCTGCTCATTCACTGTCGGTAAGCTGTATGTAATGAAATTAGTTAGTAAACAATAAAGTATGTATAAATCTAAGCCTACATTTCATTTCGGGTCCGTTTCCATGCTTCACACCATTTGGAAACAGTCTGAGGATAGATGGCCCTTAAACATTACTATGCAGCAACGCATAAACAACCTAACCTGACTGGCCCACACAGAAAACAGACTTTATTTTCTAAATAAAATAGAGCAATCTGCAGGAGAACATCAGTCAGACATGGCATTCCTATCCCTTTGGAGGACCTTCCCCTTCAGGCTCAGCGGCTAAGGTGCTCTGATTCCATGTTTAAGAGAAACTATTAAGAATAGCATAGTCGTATAATGGGCTGCTCAGTGGGGCAGTGGGTAGCACTGCTGCCTTGCAGCAAGAGGGTTCCGGGTTTGATTCCCAGACCGGTGTCTTTCTGCATGGAGTTTGCATGTTCTCCCTGTGCATGCGTGGGTTCTCTCCAGGTACTCCAGCTTCCTCCCGCAGTCCAAAAACATGACTGTTAGGTTAATTGAGTGTGTGCCTGAATGGTTGTTGGGTGTAACCGGCCTCTCGCCTCTTGTCAGCTGAAGCACCAGCACCCCTTGCGACCCCAGAAGGGATAAGCATGGATGACAGAAAATGGATGGATGGATAATGGTATAATCTTCTAAGGGGTCATTTAAGATTAACTATTATTTAACATAACAGTCATGTTTTGAATGATGGGAGGAAACAGGAGTAACCTGAAAGAACCCACAACAGCAGTAGTGCACAAATAAACAAACTAGGGCTGATACAATGAATCAGATTAATCGATTAATGAAATAATTGTCAACTCATTTTGTGATCGATTAATCATTAACTGGAGTAAAGACTGTAAAACATGTCTTTAGCTGACAGAGCGTCCCACTCAGAGCAGTAATCATACCAGGGCTGTTAAAAAAAAACCATGCTCCATCCAGAACTCCTCAAGTAAATTTGTAAATTGTCTTCTTTAAAGAACCTTTTGCTATACGATTATTGATCGATTAATTGAAAAAAAATCAACAGATTAATCTATTTCCAAAATAATCTTAGTTGAAGCCCTAAAACAAACCCAAAGCCGGGATCGAACCCATAACCTTATTTCCGTGAAGCACATGTAATGCGGCATAAGGTAAACACACACACACAGACACACACCTACTCATTCTGCAATATGTAGTGAGGACCACGCGTTGACTCCCATGGACTTCCATTGATTTTGAGTCATTTTCAACCCTTTCTATGTCCTAACCCTAAAACTAACCCTAAACCTAAGCATTACCAATGCATACCTAACCCTAACCCAATTGAGACCTTAGCCCTAAACCTAACCATTAGCAAAATGCTTTGTGAGGACCAGCAAAATGTCCTCGCTTTGCAACAATTCAATTCAGTTTATTTATATAGCGCCAGTTCACAACACGTCATCTCAAGCCCCTTTACAGTTCACCAGATCATACAGTCAAATTGATTCAAAGTTTTCTATCTAAGGAAAACCAGTTGATTGCATCGACTCTTGAATCTTCAGGGATTCCTCACACTAAGCATGCTTGTAGTGACAGTAGAGAGGAAAACTCCCTCTTAACAGGAAGAAACCTCCAGCAGAACCAGGCTCAGTGTGAGCAGCCATCTGCTGAGGCCGACTGGGGTTCAAGGAGACAGAAGCAGAGATACAAAAGCAACTGTAAAGGGCGGCCCCATCCAGGAAATAGATATAAAACAGCCAGGCAGAAGAGCTCCGAGCCAGCTCCCATGTCAGAGGATGAAGAGAGCACATCCAGCCAGTCACAGTCAGAGAAACAGGACTACACTGGAAAAACAGGCTGATCTCCAACATCTATAAACAAAGTAGTCCTGATATTTCTCTCCAGGGTGGTGTCACAGCCAAACAGGAACAGACCAGTTAGAGATTGAACTAACAGATTCTGCAGAGTGGGAGAATAGAGATAGAATGAAGCAGAATGATGAAAACTGATTCCCTATGTCCTCCAAAAGTCTAAGCCTATAGCAACATAACTATAGAGATAGCTTTGGATAACTGGTCCTAAATCTGATCTGACAGCTACACACACACACACACAATAAATAAAAACAGTTACTTACGTCATATTTCCCTGTGTGTGTTGGTGTATCCTCAGAGGTACCGTTACAATAACGTCCTAGACTGGAGTGCAACGTCATGTGGCCGCAGCCGACACACAAAAAGGGCGAAAACAGACACACAGCTTTGATATTGAGGAAAATGTGCCATAATGTCAGACAGTGTGGCATTAAACCAACTACAGCCATTTGCTTTATTTCAGTGCGCTGCTGAGCGCAGCGGCTAGCTTACTAACCGCCCTGTTTCTGCATGATGTCGCGGTTAAAATCCCCGAAATATTTCCTCTAACTTTTCTCTGTGCGCATTTAAGGTAATAGATTCTCTAATAACATCTTTCCTGATTGACAGAATCTACTGACGCAGCATTTTCAAGCAGACTTTACACAAGACGTCTTTTCCTCGTTGACAAAATAATAGCTCAGGGGAAAAAGTTTGGAAAGATGAAAAAAAAAATGAGAGAATCCTTTAAAAAGTTCTGAAGAAAAATAATGAAACCGCGTTACTTCCTGTTGTGCCTTTCAAAATAAAAGGTTGACGCCTGGTTGAATAAACACTGCATGCTCTGGCATGTGATCCTGAATTATAATTAAAGAGGAGTTGTACGGTTTATCCATTTCTCCTTATAATAAATTTAATATTTAAAATGTATTTTTCATTGGGTTATGGTACTTCTGGACTTCTTAAAGTGTCAGTTTGCATTTCAAGTTGTTGTTTGAGAATGCCCCCTTGTGGAAGCTTATTTACAACACAAAATCATAGATGGAAAAACAGCTTTTTTGATTAATTCCAACTGCTTAAGAGGATCTTTATTACCATCATTATTACCATGTTTGAAGCTTTTATTTTGGTATTATGACTACTTTATAATGAGGCATATATATATACAAGGTAAAAATAGGGTCATTCATGCTTTCTGCCACCAGACTCCAGAATTTGACACTACAGAGGCAATAACTTTTGCAATATCTAATGTGCAATTTAAATTTAATACCGTGAGGAATAACCTGTGTCTTTATATTTGATTACCAGTTCAATAGGTATACAGATAAATACCAATCTATATAAATGCCCATGTAAATACCCTGTGCAATAACCCTGTATAATAAAAAAAAATAATAAAAAAGAAAAAAAAAGACTATATAGACGCACTGTATATACTGTATATACCCCCACGCACCTTTTCGTCCTTTGGCACTTACTTCTTCTTTGAGCCGATATAACGAGTACATTTCTCCACTGTGAGATCAATAAAGTCAATCAGTCAATCAATAATCAGGTTAGCCAGGTTTCTATTCATTTTATGGTGACCTACACCAAAACATAAAAAGATCAAATAGATAACATGATTCATTCAATGTTAATGCAATAACCTATTTTTAGTAATAAAAAACAATCACATTTAATAATATGTTTTCAAAAAATTGCACATGCACTTAAATTATTCTAATGATAATTGAACTGTGATATGTGTCCTAGAGTACAGTTAATCTGTCATTAATGGCTCATTATTTTGGCATTACGCCCCTGCCAGTACATGCCACCCCGGGCAGAAGGCCACATTCTAAGATCTCAACCAGAAAACATTCTGATGGGGGAAAAAAAAAGAATCATTAGTTCAATTCAGTTTGTTTTTTATAGCGCCAATTCACAACACATGTCATCTCTTTACAGTTCACCAGATCATCCAGTCAGATTGATTCAAAGTTTTCTATCTAAGGAAAACCAGTTTATTGCATCGACTCATTGACTAATTGACCCGAATGCAATCCCTCACACTAATCATGCTTGTGGCGACAGTGGAGAGGAAAAACTCCCTTTTAACAGGAAGAAACCTCCAGCAGAACCAGGCTCAGTGTGAGCAGCCATCTGCTGAGGCCGACTGGGGTTCAAGGATACAGAAGCAACTGTAAAAAAGCAACTGTAAAAGGCGACCCCATCCAGGAAACACACAGCCAGGCAGACGAGTTCCGAGCCAGCTCCCATGTCAGAGGATGAAGAGGGCATATCTAGCCAGTCACAATCAGAGAAACAGGACTATACTGGAAAAACAGGCCCATCTGAAAAAAATATAGCCGTCAATATGATTGTAAGTAGTGTAAAAAAAAAAAAGAAGAAAAAAAAAGTGTAACTGTACCTTTATTTTGAAAGAAAACACATCAGGTTTCTGATGTGAGTTGCTGAATTTCGTGTCTTGACACAGAGACGTCTTCTTTGTGGATCTGGTCCTCCCATCGGTCAAGGAATGCAAGTTGCATGAAAGAGAATGAGCGAAAAGTTTTGGAGCCAATTTTTATTATTCTTTATTGATTGAGGTGAACTAAACCCAACATGGGGCCCGCAATTATCCGCGATGACGTCAGGAGTCTTTCAGCTTCTGCAAAGAAGTTCGGGATCTGCGCTGAAGAAAGAAAGCAGCTGAAGTCCGTGGTCTGATCGGCAATGCTGGCGGCGGAAGTGTCTCCGGATTGCAGCGCAGATGTTATTCTCAGTGTCACCGAGTCTGTGCTTGTGCATCCAGGCCTGCTGGCAGCGGCTGCAGTGTGCGGAGGACTGTCTGGTTTCCTGGCTGCAGCTCTGCTCTACATCTTCTGCATGAAGCCTCTGTTGTTGACCAGACAAGTGAGCACACACATTTTCCATTTCAATCCTTTAACCCAAAAGCGTAGCTAGGAAATGTTTATAAGGGTGGCGAGGCAATAATCAATGAGGGGGGGCCGAAAGCGGATAGGAACCAAAACCTCAATCTACATTGTTCCAACAGGAAAATCAACAAGCAAAACATCCATATTTTCTAAATAAAGACTATACTTTCCTAGAGCCTTTGCTAACAAATAGATGTATATATTTAAACATCCGTGCTTTCTAAATAAAAGGTAAAGTGGATGAAATTCTTTCAGGTTTGAGTTTTGGGGCGAACATCTTTTCCTTTGTCATCACTTACCTACTTTTATCAATAATCATCCTGCATACAAATTTTTATTTACAAGTACTAATATCTATATAAAGCCAATTTCTCCACTGTGAGATCAATAGTCATACATTGATTATTTAATGAGTTGTTATTGAGATATTTATAAAACCACAGTGTCTTGTTGTGAAGCAATTGTAAATATATGAAAAATTTTAATGTTTTGAACATTCCACTTGAGACTATTACTGTTGCCACCATCTGTATCAGAGGAAAGAAAATATTAGGGGTGGCCACAGGGGTGGCCAATGATTGGCTAAGGGTGGCCATGGCCACCCCTGTGGCTCTGCCCCTGCTTTAACCATCAAGGCTTCGTTTGCCCGTCTTCTTGTAGGTTAACAACGCCAGGAGGCTGCTGGAGCCTGAGGTCGGAGATGATGACAACAACCAAAGCGACTGTGTCAGCAACAAAGAGAAGGAGGCCCCCAATGGCTCTGCTAATGATAAGGTGATAAGGTGTTATTTACTTTGACTTAAAAAAAAATAAAAATATCTATGTATATATATATTTTTTTTTCTTTTTTCTCTCAATTTCAAAGGTTTTTTTAACAAGAATAGTTTGAAATATGCAGCCCTTTTACATATATTGATCAATTATTAATATATATTTGATAAAATAAATAAAAGGTCCCCATGAAATAAAACTAAGCAAATATTTTTATAACATTTTTATCTTATTTGGTTTTAATTTATTTCAAGATTTAGAAAGATGTATTTACTCCCAGATTTATTTATTTCATGATAGAGTTTTATTTTTTGACCCTTTTATATTATAAATTTTAAACTTGATTATGAAATAAATGTATAAGATAAATACATCTGGAAGTAAATAAATAAATCCTAAAATGAATTAAAAATGTCTATTAAAATATATATTTAGTATTACTTCATGGTAAAATCTATTTATTACACAGAATATTTATATTTTATCAACAGCAACATTTATTCATTTATCATGTATTTATGTCATTTTGAATGAAACGGTTCTCCATAGGAAACTGACTTACATGTCATGCTTCTATAATCAGATGATAGTTCGGGTTATCTAGTGGGTTTTTAAAAGTGAAAAAAGAGAAAATACTTCAACATCTGATACAGATGTTGAAGAAGATCACAGTAATATTGAATTGTTGATGTGTTCCAGTTGATAAAAGATCCAATATAAAATTGCTCATTTTTGGTTCATAGTGTAGCACTATTTAAACTGTAAAAGGACTAGATGGAAGAAAATCAGAAGACTAGAATTCGTCTACTGGAGACGTTGTCAGTAATCAATAAAACGACACAAAATAACTGCTTTCAATACCATGTATTAGACAAATTTAAAGTAAACAATACATGACAAACATACATAGAACCCAAAATAAATACAAAAAAATATATACACAGTACTGTTGCAATCCTTTTGTTTGAGCACAAAAGGTCTTAAATTCCCCGCTGATCAGTCCAGAGTCTGACTGACACACATTCAGAAATCCATGGTTGGATTATCCAGATATTCAAGTTGAAAAATGTCCCAGCACAAGTTGTTTCGGATGAAGAGGTGAATAATGCATGAAGTGTGTGCCTGAGTGGTGAGATGGAGGGGGGAAATGATACAGACCAGACCAGTGTGGAATGATTCTTAAGGCTCTCCTGGCTCCAGCCTGTTTTCAGAAGCTCGCCATCTTTTTCCCTAAAAAGGGATCACCTGGCCAATTCCAATAATAGATGAGAGTATGGCAGCTCCAAGGCTCCAAACTCACTGGATTTCTCTGATCTGTAGCTCCTTTGTCTCCAGCTCTCCCCCTCACATCTGACTGGGGAAAGCTGGAGCAAGCCTAAATAATTGCCTCAGGTGTGTCAATTGGCTGCATGCACTGTGTGACTGACTGTCACTGTAACCAATGGGGCAGTAAGGCGGGACTAAGGGCAGTTTTTTTACCCTGGGTTACACCAGCTAGAAAAAATATCAGTATTGTTAGCCTCCCCTTTTACCCTGTTGTGTTATTTTTGAGCAGGAAAAGAAGTGGGCTCCTATGAACAGTGACGTGGCTGCATTTGCATCTAGAGCCAAAGTGGTTTACCCCATCAACCAGAAATACAGAGTAAGTCCAACACTTCTAAAGGGCTGTCAAGTTTAGATCTGAGCTTGGAGTAAGATTTGAAGGCACTGACACCAAAATCATTACTTTAAATCATAGATAAACAGAGTAATTTGAAACATTGTCTAATCTCTTTAATGACATTATTTGATATGCAGATGAAACGAGGCTTTAATCATATTCCCAAATGTGTTTGATACCAACAAATAATTTTACATCCAATGAAATTCTGTCTGGTGTTAGCGATATGATGCAATACGTTTGTGTTAATAAATCTAATGAGTTTTTTTTTAAATGCACAAAATA